TTTGCGCCTGTCAGAGCTTTCCTCTAGACCACCTACAAACTAAAGCTAAGGACCTAAAAGAATACATCTATTATAAATCACATGACAGGAAAATACAAGATGGTCATTGCAGCAAAGTATTATTTTGGAATAATTTTTTTTAGTAAGTGTTTTTGTTTCAAGAAATATTTACAAGCAGTCCCATAGTAGATACTGCCACTGGATATTGCAACTGGTCAGTTCTATTCCTTCTCATTTAATTCCCTGAATATTCTGGATAGTGTCTGGCATTCTTATTGGGCTGGAAACTGAACCCATAAAACCATGTTGGTAGACTAGAGCATTAACTGTTACACCGCTATGGCCAGGCATATGTGCAAGTTAACATTAATTCGAACATAAACATCTGGAAATAAAATGTCCCACTTACCCAGGCCTTTTGTTAAATATTTTTATTATTGTGGTGCGAAATGACAACTATTATTTGTGGGTAATTCATCCACTGATAAACATAGAAAACCAAAAGCATTGCTGGAGGAACTGTTTCATCAATCTCTGACAAATTTCATTAAAGGACTATAGAGAAGAATTTTTTTTTGGCTCTTTCTTTGTGCAAAATTATTCTGACACCCCTTTCATGTTTTTGTCCACCTTACTAAATTATTCTAGTCATCTGAATGGATTTCCCCTGCTCTGATATGTCTTGTTTCACACAGTCCCAGGATGTTTACTTTCATTTCACTCTTGATGTTTTCCAGTTTACCTATTTGCATGAGTGTTCTCACATTCCATGTTCAAATCACTAATGTCTCATTCTTTGGTTTGCGTACAGTAGCTATCTGACAGTCTGGCTGCACCTGTAGCACATGGAGGACCCTACTGGACGAGGCAGTTCTTGAACTCACCTTAACGTCGTTTTCATTTATCAACTGTTGTACAGACAGGACTTCTCTTTGCAAAATACTCACAGAAGGTTGCAATTTCTTTCTGTGAGAGCAGTGCCCATATTGGGCGGGTTGTCCTAATTATTGTGCCTATGGAGGCATCTTCTGCCTAGCACAGTTAAAGTGACCAGTACTGAAAACTTCTCAGCTGCTCACTATGTTTATCCATCACGACAGTTGGTAGATTCATGAAAAATAAGGTAATCTCATGGGAAGATAAGACAACTGACATGATGCTGAACACGGCACCTGTCGACTGCAGTTCTATAAAACTATAGGTCTAGCACAGCATACCTGATATACCAAAGGTGTGAACAGAGCCTTTACTTGTGGCTGCTGGATCAGAGGACTGAGCAGGCATGAGAATGATCAAAAGTGCAGTGACTTCGAATGTGATAATATAAGAGCCTTTACTGACTTTACTATATGCTTTATACTGCATTTAATCTTTACTCCATATTTATTGTTTATTGTTAATTTTTGAGATCGTCTTCATCACACATCGGATATGACCATAAGAGCTCCGATCTCCTCCTGTGTATGTGAGATCGTCTTCATCACACATCGGATATGACCATAAGAGCTCCGATCTCCTCCTGAGTATGTGAGATCGTCTTTATCACACATCGGATATGACCATAAGAGCTCTAATCTCCTCCTGAGTATGTTAGATCGTCTTCATCACACATCGGATATGACCATAAGAGCTCCGATCTCCTCCTGTGTATGTGAGATCGTCTTCATCACACATCGGATATGACCATAAGAGCTCTAATCTCCCCCTGAGTATGTTAGATCGTCTTCATCACACATCGGATATGACCATAAGAGCTCTAATCTCCTCCTGAGTATGTTAGATCGTCTTCATCACACATCGGATATGACCATAAGAGATCCGATCTCCTCCTGAGTATATCTCCAAGTGTTTTTAGGCTAACAACTTTCATTCTGTTCAGGCCGAGGTAACGATGGATGGCTCTCACATGGTTTTCCTGTCTTGCTTGCTCCAATTTGTATACCCAGGGTATTCAGTGAAAAATTTTCTGTGAAACAGAAAGCCTCAGAGTGTTTAGTCTCTCTGATGATGTCTCTTCTGATATGAAAACATGTATTTAATGATTCTCCAACTTTGGAGGCATATGTTACAACTAAATGACATCAGAAAAATTAAAAATATGTAGCTTAGTTTTAAAACTATAATTTGGAACTCCATATTTTGGTGAGGCTTTCAAAAGCTGACCAAAATTTAATCTTCTTGTGAGGCTTTCAAAAGCTGACCAAAATTTAATCTTCTTGTGAGGCTTTCAAAAGCTGACCAAAATTTAATCTTCTTGTGAGGCTTTCAAAAGCTGACCAAAATTTAATCTTCTTGTGAGGCTTTCAAAAGCTGACCAAAATTTAATCTTCTTGTGAGGCTTTCAAAAGCTGACCAAAATTTAATCTTCTTGTGAGGCTGTCAAAAGCTGAACAACATTTAATCTTCTTGTGAGGCCTTCAAAAGCTGAACAACATTTAATCTTCTTGTGAGGCTTTCAAAAGCTGAACAACATTTAATCTTCTTGTGAGGCTTTCAAAAGCTGAACAACATTTAATCTTCTTGTGAGGCTTTCAAAAGCTGAACAACATTTAATCTTCTTGTGAGGCTTTCAAAAGCTGAACAACATTTAATCTTCTTGTGAGGCTGTCAAAAGCTGACCAACATTTAATCTTCTTTTTCTTTTGTCCTACTGCTTATGCCATAAAGGTTGCTAAGACGAGTTAGACGTAGTTTCCTGTCTTTTTCAAGTTGAGTAACTTGTGTTATCATTGTTCTTAGCTCTTCATTGGTGATTCTGTTGATCAATATTTAATGAAGCACAAAATGAATCTTTTCTACTGAATTTCACAAATCACAATCCACTGTTGCACTGTACAACTCAGGAGGCAAGTCTTATTATGTTTCATTATAGGTTAGTTGTGTTTCCCCTGGCTGTTGTGTGCTTTCTCCAGGCAAATTACATCCTGTAGTTTACCACTGCTTTCTGTACATGTTTCATTATATACAATGATGTAAATTCTGTATAATGTACCTGAAGAGGTACAATAAAATATGCCAAGCAATAAAGTGGGCAATCTATTTCTGCCTTCACAATTTAAAATCATAACTTTTAAACAGTTTTGAACTCCTACATCAGATTTTCCTTTTTGTTTTTTGAATGATCAAGGCACTGACTTGTGAAAAATCTATATATTTTTATATAATAAATACACTGTAGTATATATATACGTAAGCTGGCAAACATAGATATGTGTGTTCCATCTTTCTTTACCCATTTTTTTTAACAAGCAAACATTGTTCTTAATAAAAATGTTAATTTTCGGATGATGTAAGCTAAAAACTCGGAAACTACTGAACCGATTGCTTTCAAATTTGCACACAACGTTGCCTTTGACTCCAAGCGTGATTTTTTGTCAGAAAATCGCACAAACCACGAACGACGTAGCTCCAGCAACGGTCAAATCATTATTTGTTTCCTTGCCGGCCCGGATTTGTTTTTATGTGATCGGCCATATTTGACTGCTGAACTTTGCATTATTATATTTCATTTCCACCATTTGCTTGAGTGTTTAATAGCGTAGTTGTTAACTATTTTTTCCTATCATGCAGGTTACCCGCTAGGTGATATAATTTTTTTTTAGCCCTTAACTGGGCGGCTGGCACGTTGTGGTTTATGGCTAGACTGTGATATCTACACCTTTTTCGGTTTTGGGGTTTACAGCTAGCCTGCGACAGCGGCGACGTGATGCACAATGGTCATGTCACGGGTAATCTTCGTTCGCCCTCGAGGGCCGTTGGCACGTTGTGTTGTAGTTTACAACTAGGCTGCGATATTTGACCTAAACCCTTCAGTCGTCGGTAGTAAAGTTGTAAGTATGTCATCCTTCACTCGGGTGACCGGTGTTCGATTCCCTGCTGGGTGATAATTGTTCTTTTTCCCCTGAAAGGGTGGTTGCCATGTTGTGTTGTGGTTTACAGCTAGGCTGCGATATCTGCGCCTTTCGCTAAAGACATCCGATTTCAGTTAAGTCCTAATTAGACTCCCCGCGACGCTTCTCGATCAAAAACTATTTTTTTTCCTATCTCCGGGGCAAAATCAAACTAAATAGGGATTCACTTTCCTGGGGCATAAACAAAGATACACATAATTTAAAATAAGAGAAGAATGCACACCATATTATAACCACTGAAACACCTTTGATATGAATCTCTTTAGAAATTAATGAGGCACTTAATATGTGGGTAGGCAAGCACAAATAAATATAACCATACAACTAAAAAAAAAAAAAACATGCAAACTGTATGGCCACCGCAGGAACACATGTGGCAGCTTTGATAAACAGTCTGGAAATTGAGCAGGCACAAGATTTCTTGGTGAGACTGCTGCCAAGTCACAAATGAATACACACATGATTTAAAGTAAGAACACTGCACACCACATGGCAATCACACAAACACCTCAGGCTGCTCTGATAAGGAATCTCATTGGAAACTGATGAAAACTCAATTTCTTGGTGACATTGCCAAGTCACACATGAATACACACATAACTGCAAACAGCAGAAGAATGTACACTGCACTACTTACTGCTGAAGCAAACATGAGACACTGCAGATTACAAACGTCATGCAGCCTCACTAGTGAATCACATGGTTAAAAACACACAAATTGTAAAAAATAGAGATATTTACCATGTTTTTACATTCACACACTCTTGTTCATCTTAGTATACCATATGCCACTTGAAGTGGCACATTATGGATCAAAAAATATCAGAATTAATTTGAAATGGATTGTGAAAGGAAATTATCTTTTTTTTACCCCCAAACCAACACCAATTGACCTTACCCTTACAAGACATTCTCCCCGCCCCTCCCCCCCCCCCCCCCCCCCCCACACAAAAAAAACTTTTAGTTTAATTCGGATAAAATACAGACTAACCTTTTTAGTCATGTGTTGTAAGTAAATTTGGAAAATACTAATACATAGTTTGTCAGAACAAAATGCAAGTTAAAACAACATTAATTACTATCTAAATGTCAGTAGGATTCTCTGCGAACAAAAATATCAGAAAATCCTGAGCTGCCACCTGGCATATCCTGCTCAATTTCATGCCAGGCTTCAAATTCACTCTCCATAAGAATGTAGTTCTGGACTTTGTCAGCGACTGGCAGATGCTTGACTTTCACCTGAATCGGGCACCCCAAACAAGCTCGGATGCGTCGTCTGCAAGCATCAGCCAGTGTAAAAGGGGTAATTAAATGCTGAGTAAACAGGCTGAATATTTCCTCCTTCTGTTGAGGGGTGTAGTGACTATTTAGACCTTGGGTTTGTTTCAGCAGTTTTGTTAACACACGGATGGTCCTTGATGGGATGTGACTATATGAGGAGTACAAATATAACAAGTGTTTATAAACATACTGAGGAAATCATTATCATCTGTCTTAATTAACAGAATTCTTCGTGATTAACAGTTTAATGCCACTTCTGACACACAGAAAGGTATACTAGTCTACCAAGGTAAATTTTACAGAATAATTTTTATCAAACTCTATGCTACAAGTGTGAAATATAGACTTTGACTATAAAAAAAATGAATATAAAATCATAACAGCACAACCCCCGTGTGGGTTCCGGGGCCCTATTGTGGGGAAAACAAGAATAGACCCACTGCCTCCCCAAAAGCATGTCGTAAGAGTCGACTAACTGGGGAGCTTCCTTTGAAGTCGGAGTGCATCTGCCTGAGAGGCAAGGAACCAGCAGTCTGCATTCAATTGAATCAGATCTGTAAAACTGATGCACACGCAACACTCAGGTTCTGGAACAGGACTGCAGTCCAGAAGTGGACGAACAACCAGAACTTTACACCAGAGTTTACAGCTGGTGAACGCGAAGAAGAAGAAGAAGATAACAGCACATATATGCCTCATAAGAGCTGCTGGATTTATTTGAAAAAAAAAAAAAATTAGAAATTAGAAGATATAAACTTATTGTACAGCAAAAGATCAGATGAACTGACCAGATAACAAGAATACCCTGGTATAAAATGACACAGAGAAACTCAGAAGAAATGTAAAAAAAAACACAAGGAAAGGGGAAGACCACATAAAAAGTAAATGATGGAATCAAAAACAACACTGAGGAAAAAGATTAACTTTAACAAATCATTAGAAAGAGTAAACAAACAATTCTTATATCTTCCCAGAGTTTCTCTGAGGTTAACAGAAGAAGATAACAATTAGATGGGGAGGGGGAGGAGGAGAAGAAAAAGAAGAAGAAGAAGAAAAAGAAGAAGAAAAAGAAGAAGAGGAAAGTAACTCTTTCAGCTCAAGCAACATATGTCTGGCTATTCTTACTCGTGTTAAACATCTTCTTACTTTAAGATTTTAGCAAGGAAATATCTGGCAACTTACATTTACTTTACATTCCTACAGCACTGCATTGAATTTGTTTGTTTTCAACTGATAATTTTTTTTTTTATGTGTTAAATCTTCAGGGAATTACAGAGTTAAAGCAAATACAAACACAATGACAGGAAAAACATTTCAAGTAAGTTACATGCCCTCTTCGAGACATCACAAACCAAAACCCAGCTTTCATTGGCTGTTTAATTCCCACAGTGTGCATGTCAGAACCACAAACACCTGCTGAGCACACCTGCCTCCTATACTTACAACAACGAAGAGAAACCTGGCCTCAAAAGCAAAGGTGCAAAGCAAGCTCAGGGGAACCATGGAAGACTTGCAAGAACAAAGGCTCCTAGATCTACATACTGGTAACACTAACAAGAACAGAGGCTCCCAAATCTACATACTGGTAACACTGTGACAAGAACAGAGGCTCCCAAATCTACATACTGGTTACACTAACAAGAACAGAGGTGACCAAATCTACATACTGGTAACACTGTGACAAGAACAGAGGCTCCCAAATCTACATACTGGTAATACTAACACGAACAGAGGCTCACTGATGTAAATACCAGAAATACTATTTCAAGAAGACAGACTCTTCTATCTACATATCAGCATTACTACAGGAAGAATGTATTTACATACCAATAACACTGTAATAACATCTTCATCATAGGAACATTTTTGTGAGTCAGTGCCAGGAAGAGAGGCTCCAAGCCTAAATGTGGATGGGGGTCTTCGTGAAGTATGCAACATATCTGCAGGCTTGTGACCTGTAAAAAACATAAACCTGGTATATCAACTATGTAAGACTGAAAAAAAAAATGTTGGTCAAAAAAAAAAAAGGTAAACGATCCCTTTCATGTGTGGCACATAAGAGGGCATATGATGCTACTCATGTTTCTATAGACCAGTTGGGACTTGAGGCAATGACAATGTAGTAGTATCACCTGGAATGAACAAATTTTAACTCGCTGTACTTTATTCAGGCATTCTCTATGTGTCTTTGGTCTTCCTTTATTTCTATGCCAGTGCAATGAAATTCTAGTTATATTGTTCTATGGTTTTTTTTAAGGTGTATCCTATCTAACGCCAGTGTCTTTTCTTCATCTCTTGGTCTAATGGAACATGTTTAGTTGCCTCTCAAAACTCTAAATGAGTGATTCTATCACATGATTTAATTACCTCTACTCTGCGCAGGCATCAGAAGCTATTAATTCATTTAAAAAAATGCCCTGATGAGGTTTCAGATTTATTACCTTTTAATTGACAGGTAAGCACCCAGCAACTGTGCTACCTCAACACCCACACCTTGAGTGCCTACAAAATGTATAGACCATTTGATGGTCATTTGATGGGCCATTTGGTCAATAAACCACAAGCCGCTTTACTTCTTAGAATGTTTCCTGGTGTCATTTTAGCTTAGAGTATTCCCCCCGGGATATGCCGTTAGTCACATCGGGCATATGGGAAGAGCACCTATAATTTTACAGACCAATCTGCACTGGGTGGGTAATGTGGTCTTTACTTCCTCAGGTCAGCTATCCTGGTACCCATTTTAAGCCAACACGACCTGCAACGCCTCATACCATGATAAAAATCTACGCAACCCAGCAGTGGGTTTCGATCACGGCACGTTGGAATTACAAGTCGGACTGGCAAAGCCTAAGCCACAGACACTGCTCAGTTTTCAGGACAAACCCATATTAGTTGCGTCCCCCTTCCTCAATGAGTCTCCATACTGACAGTACCTACTGTCCTCTGGTTAACTACTCATCTTACTGGCAACTGGCAACAGAGCTTGGACTGGGTTGGTTAAGACCTATGCTCTATGGGGGGGGTAATAACAAATGTGTTGACTGCCATAGACTGCCACGCTGTGGAAGTGCGGGAAAGCACAGCAAAGGGAAGACATGCAAAGGATGGAAGATAGCATCAGGGGTGGCCTGGGAGAAATGAAGGTCAACTTATGCAACACATTAAAAAGAGGACACATGTGATCCTTATACCCAACACCACAATGAGGTAAAAGAATAAAGAGGAGAAGGAGGTGAAGAAGAAGAAGAAGAAGAAGTACAAGATTTTGCAAGTGATTAAAGAATTCAGCATGCAATGGATGATGGCTTATGCTCCAGTGGGTATAAAAGGCAGAAGAAATATATATAACTTACCTTGTTCTGTGCTTCGAGATCACAACCACACTGAAGTAAAGCTCTCACAGATGAGAAACAGTCCTCTGCTAATGCCGTCATAATGGGTGTCTCCCCTTTTTCATTCGTCTGGGGGAAAATAAGTACACAGAATATACAGTATCAAAACTAAATAGCAAAGAGCAATTTTCCCACCACTAGCACGATAAGCATAAGGTGACAGACCCACATTTTTACTGATGAATAAGAATTCGAATGTAAAGGATAGAAAGGAATGGAAGAATAAATTGCAAGACCTATGTGACACATGATGATGATGAAGTGTTTAATGTGTGATAAGGTTAACTTCTCTCTGGCCAGAACATTTCCTGATATTCAAATTAAGTAGGGCCAACCTCAGAGCCCTAGGTATGTTTTAGAAATTGACCCCAATGTGGATTCATTCCAGAGGCCTTTGAGGCCACAGCAAGTGTCTAATCAATATGCTACCACAGCTCTCATCCACATCATACAGAAATTATTGTTTGGGGTATAGTTGAGGGGAAGGGGTCTTTAGTTTATTTAAAAATAAAATCTTTCAACATGCTGAAATATCTCATCATATAAACGGAAATAAACTAAACTGGAATGAAAAGATGGGGTGGGCAATGTTAAAGAAATGTAGTGGCTTAAATGGAAGGGTTGGACATATTAAAGGAATGGAAAAGTTCTTCTTTTTTGCTTTCACCAGTTGTAAACTCCAGCAGCAATTTCTGGTTGGTCATCCACCTCTGGACATTAGTCTTGTTCCATAACCTGAGTGTTAAATGTACATCTGTTTTACAGATTTGACTTACTTGTATGCAGATTGTTGGTTCCTTGCCTCTCAGGCAGATGCACTCTGACTTCGAAAGAAGCCCCCAAATAGTCGACTCTTACGACATGCTTGCTTGGAAGGCAGTGGGTCTATTCTTGTTTTCCCCACAAAGGGGTCCCGGAACCCACACAGGAAGCAATGGTTTAAATGGAAGTGTATTATGAAGAGATGGATTGGAAAGAGGATATCAGACTACTATTTTGGCAAGAAACAGAGAGGACTGGAGATACATTGCGGTCAGCCTTCCTGTTGAGATGGCTGGTAAACTAAGTTTAACATTGAATATTTTGGCCAATCTGGCGATCCCTCTGACAAACCTTTACGCCCCAAGGTAGAAAAGGAGCAACTAAATAAGTAAGTATTTTGGCAAAACAAGACCAAACATGATGTGGGGAGTTTTTAAAAAAAAATGTTCATGACCAAAAAATGTAAGATGGAGATGGCTTGGACAAGTTTGCAGAATACCTGATGACACTTTGGCAAGGACAATTCTCTCATGGATGGGCGATAGGAAAAGGCGACATGAACAATCGAAGGAAACCTGGAGAAGGAGTGTAAAAGGGAATTGAACGGAGGTTATGCTGACATGGGATACCATGGGGAGAAAAGCATCAGACAGGCAGCAATGGAAATCACTTATGAACGCCTTAATCTCAACAGCAACATGAAGGGGATAAAAACAGATAGATCTACAAACTGATGTATGGATGGAGAGATAGACACACAGACACATGAACTGATGTATGGATGGGTATTAGACAGACAGACTAAAAGATGGACAGATAGACAGATAGTGGGTGGGTGGATGGAAAGATAGACAGAGACAAAAGGATGGAGAGACAGACAGGCAGATAAACCAATGAATGCACTATCAGAATGAATGCACTATGAGAACAAATGCACTATGAGTAAGTTCACTGGGAATGAAAGTGCTGAGGTTTCTCTTGATCATCCTTGTTTTCTCTATTTATGTTTCCCATTTCAGTGCTATGATATTGAGAGAGATAAAAGATACACAAGTAATTAGAGTGGGAAGTTATGAAAGAAAAAACATACGTTATGCAGGGGCCCTCACGGGTGTGACGAAACGACCTCAGTGGTCTCAGAAGTTATATTGTGTTTGATAATTTCTTATGTTCAGAGAAGGACAAAGAATTAAAAGCAATAGACACTGAGCCTAAAATAGTTCTAAAACCACTACAAGGGATTTGAGAATTGTGTAAAATGTGTTTCCAGTCTCTCGCCAGACAAAGCAACCTTGCTTTATGTGATATTACCTAATACTACTGTAGCTAGAGTTTCACCTGCCCATGTCATATTATTATCTCCTGCCCAGTCTGTAGAGGCAAGTAAAGGGGGAGATAACGTAGTATCACACCTGATTAGCTCCCCTGAACCCGACCGTAGTGTCATAAAAATTACATAACACACACTGAGTGGGGCCGTTTGATCAAACTGAATCAGGGGAATTAGTGGTCTGATAGACATTTCTAGACAGGATGGCGTCCAGCGTCTGAAGTTTCACACATGATAGTGAAATTCTCCAGAGAGCAGATGTTTGGCAATTAGGAATGTCTAATCTTGGTCAAGGTCGTACTGTAGGCCGTTCACTGTGAGTGACAGGCCCTTTGATAGCTAGGTTGATCTGCTAGGTACCTCAGAGGCGGGGCTTTAGTCATCTCCTTGAGGGTTGGGTAGAACCTAGTAGAGGGTGGAGTTTAACCTTGCAGACAGATAGGGGTATTAATAAGACTAGCCCTGGAATTTCTGTCATAATCGCTGCCACAGGAAACAAACAGGTCGACCTTAGAGGTAAATCTAATGGTTTGATTCTAGTTTGGCGATTGCTGGAAGTTTCCAGGTAAGCATGTACAATTATTTTCAATATTGTATACATAGGTTAGGGAGTTAGCTAAAATCTATTCTACCTTTTCCTAAATTGTTCTACACATTCTGCTTGAAATAGTTCTTTGTGAGTATTCAGTATCTCAGTTAGGGAACTGCTAAACCATTTCTATTTCTTGTATGTTTGTGGCACATGTTTTTCAGTGTATGTTTTCATGTTTATAAAATAAGACTTGTATACTGAAATGTAATGAAATTATAATGTTTCAACCATCAACCAAAACATAGGGTTGGACTGTGGGGAATGATGCCCACATATGCAGCCATGCTGTTACATTTTGTGTGCCCACCATGTGTTCACCTAAACAGGGGATTGATAACCCCAGGGGAAGAATCATGAGTGTATATTATTCACTGTCACTGAAAGATAATATTCAGGACAGCATGCTCGTATAAAATGTTTGGCGTGTTCCGCACATAACCTGCGCCACATGTTTATGTCAAATCAATGTCAGCAAGTTGGAAGTCTGAGTGATGACGGACAACAGAAAGTCAACTATCATGACAGAACCTTAGAGGGAAGGCAGGATATGTGAGACGTCGATTGTGAGACACAAAGACCTTCAGATTAGACTGGAGAGAATGTGGAATATGAGGAGGAGTGATGAGATATAATGTATTATTATATATTGTATTAATTGACACATGTATTCTTAGTGTAAGTCAAGATACTACACGTATGTGTTTGTTCCCATTATTACAGCTCCCATGTGGGTGAGGATCAGTCTTTTCTAAGAACAGAAATAGAGGGTCATCACGGCCACGAGACTACATTGTGTTAGAACTCGGCCAGCTGGGAAACAGGTGGGAACCAGGGAACATGTGGAAGGACCAGGAGAACTGGGCGGAAAAGTTGGAACAGCTAAGAAGGGACTCAACACGAGGACTCTCAGAAGCTCCACTTTTCTAAACCAACAAAAGTTACGTATCATGTATTTCTGTAACTAAACACCACCATTATCACTTCATTCTAATCTTAGGTGCTCAGTTAGCTGAAGCATCTCACTACCACCATACCATCATTATTGACTAAAAATATAAAGAACTAAAATGATTGCTAGGTTAATAAATCAATTATATGGTCTTATCCTGCATCAGTTTTTATAATTCCAAGTGTGTCTGTTCTTACATGTTTAATTAAAATGTTAAGATAGAATAGCATTTGGTGGGGGCTCATTAAATAATAATACTAATTCTGTACCAAGAGAAGGTCGACGGATTGGGTCAACTGCCCTGTCTAGTTAATAATTCAAATTAATAATATATAGACATCTAAAACCCATTTCCTTCTCTTGTGTATACCAAGTTCAGCTAAAGTTAATATAAATAACGAGCCAATATGGCTGTTTTCTTGGATATCCAGGACTTTGTCTGAGAGCAACATAGCCCAGATAATAGTTCAGTTAATCTGGTGGAGGGGATGTGTTGAGAGGAAAATCCCTACTCAACATATAAATCATTTAAACCCAAATCCAGAGAACCCACGACCCGGGACGTCACACAAAAAGTGTTGAAATTTCCAAGGGAGTGGGCCGGAACGTCACAACGGGAAGCAAAGAATAGTGACACTGCACCCTACCAGGCATGTCGTAAGAGGCGACTAAGGGTAGGGTTGGGCTTGAGGTTGGCTACCTCATCCTGTAAAAACCATAGCCACAAAAACCAACCAACCAAGGAAAAACAAGATAATGAGAATAAATCAGGCAAATAGTAATGTGGTTTCTCTTAATGGCACCCCACTCCAAGACGTGGAGTCGTACACCTATTTAGGCAGTAATGTAGATAAAGATGGAGGAACTGATAGAGATATTAAAATAAGAATACAAAAGGCAAGAGGGGCTTTCATAGCACTAGGGAATTTGTGGAGGTCAAAAGAAATTAAAAGAAATACTAAACTAAAAATTTTTAATTCTAATGTCAAATCAGTACTATTGTATGGGGCGGAAACATGGAGAACAACCAAGGCAATTACTAATAAATTACAGACATTCATTAACTGGTGCCTGCGCAGAATAGAGGGAATAAAATGGTATGATAGAATAACTAATGTAGAACTTTGGGAGAGAACTAAACAGGCTCCAGTGGATCAGAAAGTGAGGAAAAGACGCTGGCGTTGGATAGGGCACACACTGAGAAAACAGGAGAACAGCATAACTAGAATGTCTTTGCATTGGAACCCACAGGGGCATAGGAATAAAGGAAGGCCAAAGAACACATGGAGAAGAGAGCTGGAGAACGAGGTTAGAAAGATTGGGAGGACATGGGGAGAGCTCCATGCAATGGCGAAGGATAGAACGACTTGGCGTGAGTTGGTTGAGGGCCTATGCTCCATTGGGGGATAGAAAGGCAGAAGAAGAAAGATGCAGATGACATAATACTGATAGCAGAAAATGCAAATGATCTACAACAGTTACTGGACATTGTAGTGAGGGAGAGTGCAAAAAATAAAAGGGGTCTAATCTATCCTTGTGGATGTAAAGAAAACAGAGGTAATGGGTTATATCAAAGAAAAGAATACCACCACAGTGTGATATTAGAACTGAAGATACAAAGTTAATCCAAATCGATAAATTCAAATATCTGGGTACAATCTAACATCAGACGGAAGATGTGTGTCAGAAATTAGGAGCAGAATAGGCCAGGCTATGGCTGCATTTCACAGAATGAAGAACATCTTGTGCAACAGGTCCCTCTCTTTGGTTGTCCGAAAGAGAGTAGTAAAATGTTATGTAGAACCTATATTAAACCATGAAATGTGAATGCACAAATTAGTAAAAACTTTGAGGCAATGAAGATGTTGTTCCTCAGACAAATGTTAAGAATCCCTTGGACTGCAAGAGTAACTAACGAGGACTGCTTCAAAGAAGCTAATGAAAGATGATCAATATATACAGATATTAGGAAAAGACAAGCACTGTTCTTTGGTCAAGTGATGAGGGGGAAGGCTTTGGAGAATGTTGTTACGACTGGGAAGACCAACACTAGAAGAGGGAGAGGCAGACAGAGAGAAATGATGACGGATGGACTGAGATGGTGGTATGAAGGAATATCATCGGTGGAACTGATCCTGAGGACAAGAGACCAAGATGTGTGGAGATGCACGAACGCCTATGCCAGTCGGCAGGGCACACGATGATGATGATGATGATGATTTCACTGACTGTTTATTGATATTTTTTATATCTGCTTCTCCTTACAATGTGGCTAATTGTCAGGTTCTTTTTTCTTAAAACTGTTGATTCAAGCAGTTGTGAAGGTATTTCTCGTACTTTTTAGAATTTCTTGAATTCAACCCATTTAATGTTCATTAATTCTCTCAGGCATTTGTTTTCGATGCATTTAACTTGTATTCCACGTCTATAGGTATCACTAATTATATTAATTATCTTCAGTTAGTCAAGTGGATGTGGATAAATGTATATCAATATTTGTGTGTGAACAAATGTACAACTTTCTTGTGCACTTTTCATAATATGGATAAATTTCGACCTCACCTTGGCTATCTAATAATGTAGTATACATGATGATTGCTTAATGATACCAAAATGAAAACTGCTATTAAACTGAGAGTTCTGTTAAAGACTTCAGTCAAAATGTTTGCTTTCACTTGTATGTTTTTTTTTTTATTTTACTAAGCTTTATAAGGATATTATAATAATATTTAGCACTCATTCATTTTCATTATATAAACTAAAGATTTCATAACTATAAACCTGAAACAGAATTCATGAATTATATTACATATTTCTTAACAGTAAGTATAATAATATAATAATAAACACTACACAAGTATCTAGAATTCCTAGTCCGACAGATATAGGGTTGAATGGTACTTGTCTGAAGCAAGTTAAAGAATTTAAATATCTATGAAGTATATTCTCAGACGATGGCAGAGCAGACTGTGAAATAGAAACAAGATGCCAACAAGCCAGTGCACTTATTTACCAACTGACACTGTAAGTAAGACATCCAAACATAGGTATCTGCATCAAGAAACAGATTATAAACAGCATATTCATAACAACACGGTGCTACCAGTGCCAGACTTGGACATCATCAAAGGCTAACCTCTGTAAAATTAACACCTGTGAAATCGGATGCCTGAGAAATTCCAAGACAAAGAAATGATATTATCAGACAGACTGTGGGAACAAAAGAATGCAGCAAACTCATTGAGACAGAAAATCAAATGATTTGGTCATCTAGTAAGAATGCAGCCAGAACAACTACCATTGCTGTTCCTTTACATGAAAAGATCTGATGTAAAAGCAAGAGGTGGCCCTAGGTAAATATAGATTAATGACATTAAAGAGCTTCTACATCAACATGGAATGACAAAAGCCACAGCTGCACATCAAGCAATGAATCGCAAACTGTTCCTCCCCACAACAAAGCAGCTGAAGTATAAATTGTCGATGATGATGATGATACAAGGATCGTGTTTCAAAGCAACAATACCTGGTTCAAGTCACAGCCATGATCTGATAGTAGTTCAATAGTGCTTGCCCGACCTTGTGAGGCTGCAGCATGTATAGGCAATGCTGAAGCAAAGGGACTTGAAGTAGGACAGTTGCCTTTACTTAACATGTAAGCCACGGTTTCACACAGCCCTCGCTGGCATGCCAGAAACAATGGTGACTTCTTTTCATGGTCTATGGCTGTCAGACTGCCGCCTGTTAAAAGTCACAAACAGAACATTAGTGAACAGGAAATATATGTCCATATACATTAATATCTGATGATATTTTCAAACTGCTTAAACTTGTAATAATCAACCAATCACGTGTCATCTCCACTATTTAGGCTGGCTGCAACATGCTCTGCTTTATTTTTCCCAAAATGTTAATTCTCCTAAACTGATTCTTTATTTTACTCTGAATGATTATTTGGGTCTGTCTCCAAGATCTGTTGTATCTGTTTCTATGATCATTCATGTATGTCTCCAGGATCAGTTGTGTCTGTCTCCAGGATCACTTGTGTTTCTCCAGGATCACTTGTGTCTGTCTCCAGGATGACTTGTGTTGATCTAGGATCACCTGGATCTGTCTCCAGGATCACTCGTGTCTGTCTCCAGGATCAGTTGTGTCTGTCTCCAGGATCACTTGTGTCTGTCTCCAGGATCAGTTGTGCCTGTCTCCAGGATGACTTGTGTTGCTCTAGAGTCACCTGGATCTGTCTCCAGGATGACCTGTGTTGATCTAGGATCACCTGGATATGTCTCCAGGATCACTTGTGTTGCTCTAGAGTCACCTGGATCTGTCTCCAGGATGACCTGTGTTGATCTAGGATCACCTGGATCTGTCTCCAGGATCACCTGTGTTGCTCTAGGATCACCTGTATCTGTCTCCAGGATCACTTGTCTCTCTCTGCAGGATCACTTGTGTTTCTCTCCAGGTTCACTCATGTCTCTCTCCAGGATCATCTGTGTCTCTCCAGAATTCACCATCCATTGGTGCAGAACCAGCAAGACTCATCAAGGGTCAACTGTTCTATAATAATATATAGCTGGCACCCTTTACCCAATGCTCCTCAATACATGGAAAAGGGTCCTTTACTGACTGTACATTACACATGATAATAAACATAATGTCCCCTAAAGGGTGAGATTACCTCTGTCAATCAGCAGATGGGTAGCAAGCACATAATGCTGACATATTGCCTCATGCAGTGCTGTCCTCTTTGTCAGCTTATGGGTCACTGATAAGTTACTTCCAGCATCCAAAAGAATTTCAATGATCTAGGGAATGAAGACAGATTGCTCATTAAAACCTCCCGAGGATACCTACAGAGCAATCTTTGTGAGTGGAAGAAAGTGTGCTTACTAAAACATCTTAAGATACCTAGCGAGTGATGGAAAGACTGCTTCCTGAAGATACCTACTGAGCAATCTAGTGAGTAGCAGAAAGACTGCTCACTAAAGAATCTTGAAGATATCTACAGCAAGTAAAAGTAAGATTGCTTCTTAAAGATACCTACAGAGTAATCTAGTGACTTAAAGAAAGACTGCTCACTAAAAAATCCCCCCGTGTGGGTTCTGGGGCCCCATTGTGGGGAAAACAAGAAAAGACCCACTGCCTCCCAAAAAGCATGTCGTAAGAGTCGACTAATTGGGGAGCTTCCTTTGAAGACGGAGTGCATCTGCCGGAGAGGCAAGGAAACAACAGTCTGTATTCAAGAGAATGAGATCTGTAAAACTGATGCACACGCAACACTCAGGTTCTGGAGCAGGACTGCAGTTCAGTAGTGGTCGAGCAACCAGAACTTACAGAGTGTACAGCTGGTGAACGCGAAGAAGAAGAAGACTAAAACATCTTGAAGAAAAAACTTACAGGTAATCTAGTGAGTGAAAAAAAAGATTGCTAACTAAAACATCTTAAAGATACCTACAGAGTAATCTGGTGAGTAGAAGAAAGTTTGCTTATTAAAACATGTTAAAGATCATCATCACCACCACAAAGCAGGTCCTTTGCAGAACGTCGCTCTTATCACGGTCTGCCTGAAACAAACTCGGTCTCTCGCCAGCTCTCCCACCTCATGTACTGTCATATTCAAGGAGTCACTAATATCCTGTGACTATCTTCATGGACGGCCCCTGCTCCTCCTTGCTGGTACCATGCCTTCTGCTGCTATTTTTTTCCAATCTGCCATGGCGCTTGATATGACCAAAATATTTTAGCTTCCGAGACAAGATGCTGTTTATTAGCCAATCTTCCTTGATGTTAAAATCTTTCAAAATGCCAGTATTTCTTCTCTACTTTGTCCATGGTATTCTGAGAATCTTTCAACAGCATTTCAGCTCAACAGCCCTTATTCTGTTTCCCAAGGACTGGGACTCACATCTTGAAGATACCTACAGAATAATCTAGTGAGTGGGAGAAAGAATGCTTTAGTGGAAAGTTCTGGTTGTTCATTTACCTCTGGACAGTCTTGTTCCAAAACCTGAGTGTTAGTGCACATTCATTTTACAGATAAGACTTATCTGTAAGGAAACTGTTGGTTCCTTGCCGTTAAGGCAAAACCAAGCCTACTTCAAAGGAAGCCCCCAATTAGTCGACTCTTATGATATGCTTGTACAGGAAGCGTGGTCTATTATTGTTTTCCCCAAAATGGGGCCCCAGAATCCTCAGGGGAACCTACAAAGTAATCTAGTGAGTGGAGATAAGTTAGTTTGGATATGATCACTGCACTGCACCTTCCCTCAATATGAACCACAGCCCCCTGTGACAGTTCCTTGTTGATCGATAATTCTTTCTCTAAGGCCGGTGTGTCTCTCGCTTTTGGCTATGCTGATCTTAATTCCTGAGGATTTCATTCTGGTGAGCAATGTGGAATCGCTGTCCTCCACCCTTCCCACTTCTCTGAGGGCATTAATAATATCAGCATGATCCATGGGTTGACCTTTAGCAGTGACAGCAGATCAAGCCAACTTATGAGCTATTTCATTACCATCGACGCTGGGGTGCCCCGGAACGAAGATAAAGATGATATTACGCACAGTGGACTTCTGTAATAGCTCAATCCACTGCCTTCGCACAGAACCTTGTATTCTTAGCCATATGAGTGGAAGAAAGATTACTAATTAAAACATCTTGAAGACAGAGATAGCTACAGAGTACTCTAGTGAGTGGAAGAAAGACTGCTCAATTAAAAACCTTGAATACATCTACAGAGCAATTTAGTGAATGAAAGATTGCTCATTATAACAATGTGAAGATACCTACAGAGTAATCTAGTGAGTGGAAGAAAAACTGCTCACTAAAACACCTTGAAGATATTACAGAGTAATCTAGTGAGTGGAAGAAAAACCGCTCACTAAAACACCTTGAAGATATTACAGAGTAATCTAGTGAGTGGAAGAAAAACTGCACATTAAAACACCTTGAAGATATTACAGAGTAATCTAGTGAGTGGAAGAAAAACTGCACATTAAAACACCTTGAAGATATTACAGAGTAATCTAGTGAGTGGAAGAAAAACTGCTCATTAAAACACCTTGAAGATATTATAGAGTAATCTAGTGAGTGGAAGAAAAACTGCTAATTAAAACACATTGAAGATATTACAGAGTAATCTAGTGAGTGGAAGAAAAACTGCTCACTAAAACACCTTGAAGAAATTACAGAGTAATCTAGTGAGTGGAAGAAAAACTGCTCATTAAAACACCTTGAAGATATTACAGAGTAATCTAGTGAGTGGAAGAAAAACTGCTCATTAAAACACCTTGAAGATATTATAGAGTAATCTAGTGAGTGGAAGAAAAACTGCTAATTAAAACACCTTGAAGATATTACAGAGTAATCTAGTGAGTGGAAGAAAAACTGCTCACTAAAACACCTTGAAGAAATTACAGAGTAATCTAGTGAGTGGAAGAAAAACTGCTCATTAAAACACCTTGAAGATATTACAGAGTAATCTAGTGAGTGGAAGAAAGATTGTGCATTATAACACTGTGAAGACATCCACAGAGTAATCTATGAATGGAAGAAAGATTTCTCTCATTAAAACATCGTGAAGATAGCTACAGAATAATCTTTGTGAGGGGTAGACAGATTGTGAGTGAAGCACATTACTGAAGTTTAAACATTGAAGGTCGAGAGGATCAACTTCACTGCACCTATTTTATCCCACATGGCTCAGTCCCTCTCTGTAGAATGACTGACCGCCTGCTGAGAGTATTGTATATGCAAAGCATGAACTCCGTACCTCCTGTGATAATCCCCATGAATCTCTATAAAACTTGTATCCATAAACTGAAGGATGCAGTTTGTTATATGAACTAACAAGTTTCAGAGCAACAGTCAAACAGCTTAATCACTCAGCCATGGAGATACCTGTCTAAACTTATCAAGACATACTCGTATCAGAAGCAAGCTACACTGTTTAGACATGTCTTTAGAGTAGGGTAACTGGAATACTTTGTGACAACAAAAAAGTTGGAAGCAAAGAGAGAGGAGAGAAGACCTACAGAGATAATAACAGACTACCTGAGAATGTAGCAGGAACAAATACCTGAGGAAAATGATGAACATTAAATGGAATGAATTCAAGAAAAAAAAAGAGAGAAATGTCTGGGCAACCCCTAGTCTCAGTAGTTATAAGACAAGAGAAGATGGCGCTATAGTTAACACATGCTGAGAAGAGACGAATAGAGAATCACAAAACAGGCACTGAAGTGCGAAACAGAGGGACTGAGTAAATGAGGACGTCCAAGAGAAACCCTAAGGTGGGACTATTCATCTGGCGGCCTACACACAATCAGACAGTTACTGGTACCATCCAAATTTTTACTCTTCACTTGCTGCTGAAGATGGGGACGGAGGGGGTGTCCCGATTGCTGTGATGTTGATTCTTAATTCAACATTCAAAATTTGTATCTGGCGGCCTGCGGTTCAAATTTGGCCCAGCGGAGCTTAACAAGTGACCCGCATCCTACTGCAAGTTCTATTGTGCTAATGGTCTTCCTATGCCAGGTCTCGAGCCTTTGGGTCGCAATGATCCTCACTGTCAAAATGTTGGCCCCTGAGTAAACTTAGTTCCCCAGCTGTGTCCTAAAGCCAATATTTGTAGCAGAAGCCAAAGGGGCTGGACTGGATTCTATCCACGATACTGAAGTGATAACACAGGAGAGTATTAAATGGAGAAACAGGCTGTGAGCCCTATGTGACACATAATGGCACAACAGGACAATGAATCAATGAATGAGAATGTAGTATTGAGAAACATTTTTTGAAAGTTAATGGCAACATTAGTCAGGAGGCTGTCAATAAAGCATGCACAAAAAGAAGAAAAGTCCTCTACATTTCTCAAGAACAAAATGATGATATAAATATAAGTGCTCACTTTGATATCGCATCTACAGGACACAGCAGCCATTAATGCATGCCTCCCCTCATCATCTACAGCATTCACTTTACAACCTTAAAGAATACACACAGAAATCTATTAGAAGTCTCTTGAAACAAGGACAACAATGGCAAACAATGCAACTGTAAACACAACTAGAGCATCACACTAGCCACACACATTTACATTTTTTACTGCTTTCTTAACAGAAGTGTTTGGTTTGGCAGTGATGATAGTTTCTTTTTTTTTTTTAACTGCCATTGCTGTCTTTTTGTTTAATGGAAAAGGAGGCGGGTCTTTGAGCTTAAGGCTTTTCAGCCTGTCGCCACAGATTAGGATTTTATGTTTGCCTTGACACACAAAAAATCCCGAACCTTACAAAGGATGCAAACCCAGGTCTGCCATTTGAGAGCCCAGCATTCTACCTATGATAACAGTTGCTTGAAAATATAGAGTCCACCTGAAAGGCGCCAGCTTAAAATTTAGTCGAGGATGGTATTTTCAAGATAATATTGTACAAAGGAATATAATTCTTCTTCTTCCGCACTAGTGCATGATAAGGCAGACGTGGTTAGTTCCTTGCGAGAGAGCATGTCCATTTCGGAGGAGCAAATGGATCACCACAATCTGGTGAGATTGATGCAGAAGGGGGGGGGGGGGGAGTGACGAGAGGTTCTGGCAGATGCTTGAGGCTCAGAAGAAAGGCAAGACGGACGTATAATCAGAATGCCACTGGCACCAGAAGTATTGGAACTCTTCGATGGCTGCTCAAGATTGGGACAGAGCGATTATGGCAATGCCCCAAGTGCTGTGATGTTGGTTCTTGAATCAACTCAACTCAGCTCTTCTGCATTTACTGGCTGTGAACTCTGGTGGAAAGTCCTGGCTAATCAACTATGCCTGCACTATGATCTTGTTCCAAGACCTGAGTGTTGCATGCACATTCGTTATCCATATGTGGCATACTGAGTGCAGATTAATGGTTTCTTGCCTCTCAGTCAGATGCACCCTGACCTTGAAATAAATGGCAATCCTGTCTCCACTGACCAGGCACCTGGTAGGCAACCCATTTTTATGTGGAGGTGGCCTGGGTCCTGTTGGCACCTCTGGAGGTTCTGATGTACATCTATTATCCAAACAAATATGATTATGCCATCAATCTCTCTCTCTCTCTCTCTCTCTCTCTCTCTCTCTCTCTCTCTCTCTCTCTCTCTCTCTCTCTCTCTCTCTCTCTCTCTCTCTCTCTCTCTCTTTCTCAAAGATAGAGTAAACAAACTATACACAAAGATAACAATTTTGACAAAAATGATATGAATATTTAGATGTGTTATGTGTCTATTTCTGTAAATCAATCAAATGTGATAAATTCACTATTAAAAGTAGCCAGGTAATATTTGTGAATAATAATCACAAACCTGCATCTAGACAGAATCTGACCACATCGATCTTTCCTCCATAAACTGCAGCATGAAGTATGGTACTTCCATGTTTTGTGACACTATCTACAGCTGCTCCTTTCTGCAGCAACAATTTGCAGATCTCTATGGAATCAGAAACAATTTCATGAGAGATATGAGAGAGAATGAGAAAGGAATGCAATTATTTAACTTTTGTAGACAAGGAGGCTGGCCGAATAGTTAGGAATGCTAGAATCTGTGACCTCGCGGAAACCTCAGTATGGTTTAGGTTTTTATCAGGACTGGAGGGGGGAAGGGGGGGGGGGGGGGTGTGGAGGTGGGATTCAATTTTGCAAAAATGAAATCCTAATCTCCAGTCTGTGGTGACCGCACGAGCAATGTGGCCTTTACTCTTCAGGTTTAAAGACCCTAGCCAAAGTAGTTTTTCTGGGTTTTTTACTGTCTTTTTTTTTTTTTTTTGACAGTATTAGGTGATATTTTTTCTATAAACATGCCCAATATGTCTTGAATATTATTTCTTCTGCTTCTTTTCATTCCTCAGCTGTAAACTCCGGTGGAAAATTCTGGTTGTTGTATAATTTTGGACTTCAGCCTTGTTCCAGAACTTCAGTGTTGCATGTACATCCATTTTACAAATTGGCTTATGTGCATGCAGACTGCTGGTTCCTTGCCTCACAGGCAGATGAATCTGACTTTGAAGGAAACCCCTAATCAATTGATTCTTATGGCATGCTTGTTAGGGAGGCAGTAGATCTATTCTTGTTTTCGCCATAATGGGGTCTGGGAACCCACACGGGAAGAATTTAAGCTGTTGATTTCGATTTTTTTATTTGATGTCTTCTGTCTTACTTCAGTATGCATCCTGTCACATTCATGACATGTTTTAATCGAGGTAATGTGTCATCATCATTAATCTTCATCATGAAGCCAGTTATGCTGCAATGTTTGACAAAGCCTGTGGCTCAGTACATCCAGTTTCGACAAGCATATTTTTTCCAAGCTTGCTTTTCCTAGACTTCAACTTCACCTGCCTTCCTAAAAGGCAGCCATTGTGTAACTCTGTTTACATAGTTTTGGACTTCTGGCATAAATAGCCAATAGCCGGCTGACAATCTGAAAAGTGGGTTTATTTTATAATTCCTGGTACAGAAAAAGAATGACTTCCTTCGCCATTCATTTCTCGTCGTCTCGCAGGACCTCTCCTATGTTGCAGAGGTGTCACATTTTCCTTACTGTCAACGCTTCAACCGTTCCCTCACTTCTCGTCTTCTCATTGCTTGCTTGAGTGATTATTTTCATGTTCTGTTACCTGCGTGACGATTTGGGACCAAGGAAACAGCAGTATTTGTATATTCCTACATTCCCTTTAAGTGCTTTCATTTTCTCTGAGGGAAGCCACCAGCAACGAACCTAGAAATACAAAAATATCCCAGTTTCAATTCTATAAAATTGTCGCACCTGCAGCACTCCCCCCCCCCCCCCCCCCCCCCCCCCCCCCCCCCCCCCCCCCCGTACTTCTTACTTGTACACAGATGTCTGCAGCACCTGAATTAGACTCACGACAACACAATCGCCTACAAACATTATATAGGCCGAGCAAACGCCAAACCAAGCCATGTCATAACACCCCCACAACAAAGGAAAGGTCCTGTGACCTGACAAGGTATGAATAGCAAGGAAAGTCCCTCTCTTTATGGGCCAGAAAACATAAAATGTTCCGAAAAATGTTGCAAAGCATGCAAAACTCTACTTTTGACTACTGTTTACAGCCAGTGAATGCAAAGAAGCAGAAGACGAGGTCTTCTTTGCTTCAACATATGGGGTGGGGTGGCCAGTTCGGTTCATCACTTCTCCTTCTAAGACAGCTCCCAAAATATTTATGGACATTGTCTGGTACCCATTTTCCTGAGGCTGGGTTGATCCCACAGCAGTTATAGTTTGGAAGAAATCCTGCTACTTCTAGAGATTGTACATCAACCACTATTTCATAGGGCAAACACAAACTACTATGCCATTTCAACTCTTTTTCTACACACATAAAACACTAAAATCTCACCCCCCCCCCCCCCCCCCTTTCATTATCTAAGGAACATTTAAACATTTTGCAAAAGACCTCTTTTACCACTACCTGGTGGAGAGTTGTCTTACTGAATAAGTGCACCAGCCACTGTGCCACTTACTGAATAAGTGCACCAACCACTGTGCCACTTACTGAATAAGTACACCAGCCACTGTGCCACTTTTGATTTTAAAACAAATCAGCTGATTTTAAAAAATACATAATTTAAAACAAAAAAATTAAAAAGTCTCTGCCAAAAACACAGATAAGCTCATTACAAATGCCTGTGTTTCTGTCTCCCTACACGATGAGAGTTAATTAACCAATAATCTTTATTACACATCGGACAAGACCATAAGTGCTCAGATCCCATCTTCAGGATCTCCCTCAGCATGTGGCTACTGATAACACCAGTTCCTTGTTGGTTTATTCTTCTTCTTTGGCTACCTGTATTATGTTCATGTCTGGCAACATCTCTCTAACATGAAGTTCTTGTACCTACAAGACTAGCTAATAATCAAATGTGATCTATATTTCTCTCTCTTCCCCCACCCAGACAGACTAGCTAATTACAAATGCTGTTTGTCTGTCTTTCTCACCCCCCCCCCCCTCCCTTTAGACTGGCTAATAAAATGTGATCTAAATCTCTCTCTCCTACTAGACTGGCTAAAAAAAATTTGATCTATATTTCTCTCTCTCCCCACCCAAGCAGACTTGCCAATTACAAATAATGTCTGCTCCCCCCCCCCCCCCCCCACCCACCCCTCCTCCCACCACCACCACCAGATTAGCTAGTAAAATGTAATATATATCCCCCACTCAGACTAGCTAGTAGGAAACTCTCTCTCTCTCTCTCTCTCTCTCAAAAAACAATAATTACAAACATTTTTTTCTTCTTCTCCCCACCCAAACAGACAAGCTAATAACAAACACTGTCTATATTTCTCTCTCTGTATAACAGACTGTCTAATAATAAATTATGTCTATTTGTTTCCCTCCTTCCACCCAAGAGACTAGCAAATGACAAACACTGTCTCCCTCCCACTCTCTCTCTCTCTCTTTGTAAAAAAAAACTGTCTAATAAAAAATGTATGTCTCCTTCCCTCTCTAAACTTAAACAGACTAGCTAATAATAATCACTGTTTATATTTCTCTCTCTGTTAAAAAGACCATCTAATAACTACCAATTAGTCAACTTCTATGACATGCTTGTTGGAGAGGCAGTGGGTCTATTCTTGTTTTACCCATAATGGGGTACCGGCACCCACACAGGAACAGCTAATAACAAAGCATGATCTTTATATTTCTCACTGCCAGCTCAAACAGACTAGTTAATAACAAATGGTGTCTTGTCTTCTCTGTCTTCTCACTCAGCTAATAACAAACACCATCTGTCTTTCTCTCCCCTAACCATACAGAATAGTTTAATGGCAGGTCACCTTGTCTAATGGCAGCATGTATGGGAGCTCTGTGTGTTCTGTCTGCCAGGTTGACATTACAGCCAGCTGACTGTATGAGAATCTGTGCTGCACCAGTGTGGTTCTGAGATATTGCCTCTGAAAATGTAAGTGACCACAAAAAGTTACAATAAGCAAACATGTTACTTCTTCCATTCAATTTAAGCTCACAAACAGATCTTAATTCTTGATTTTTATTTCTAAAAATTGCTGTTCAACAGTGTCACACACAGACATCTGACATAATAATAAGCTGTTTGTATATAAGCAGAATGGCAAATGCTAATAAATAATTTAAAAGGTCAACTCTTAAAATCTGCCTTGAATAGGACCTGAAGGTATGAAGACAAGGCTAAACAGCAAATGTGAATCAATGCTAGAAACAACAATGACTGATGCGCCAGTAAAACAAAAGGAACAGCATATGGGATAAATGAATGAATGAATCAATCAATCAATCAAGAACTAACATCACTGCACTCAGGACATTCCCACACATGCTCCCTCCACTTCTTCTTCTGTAACCAATAAAGAGTTGGCAGTACCAGTTGCTAAAAGTCTGCCTCTTTTGCCCCTTCAATGTTGAATATCTTCGGTAACCAATAAAGAGTTGGCAAGCTAACAGTACCAGTTGCTAAAAGTCTGCCTCTGTTGCCCCTTCAATGTTGAACATCTTCTGTAACCAATAAAGAGTTGGCAAGCTAACAGTACCAGTTGCTAAAAGTCTGCCTCTGTTGCCCCTTCAATGTTGAATATCTTCAGTAACCAATAAAGAGTTGGCAAGCTAACAGTACCAGTTGCTAAAGGTCTGCCTCTGTTGCCCCTTCAATGTTGAATATAATACAATATAACAGGTTCCTACTGGAACAACTAGTATTAGAACTCTGTACTGGCTGCTATAGATGTGGATGGAGAGCTTATGGTATGGCCATTGGTGTTGTAATGTCGGCTCTTGAATCAACTCAACTCACTGTCTTCTTCTGCCTTGACACATAGGCACTCAACCAACTCAGGTCAAGTCGTTCTATCCTTTGCCATGGCATGCAGCTATCCCTATGTCCTCCACATCTTTTTAACTTCACTCTCTAGCTACCTTCTCCAAGTGTTTTGTTGTTTTCCTTTATTTTTATGCTCTTGTTGGTTCAAGTGTCAAGATATTCTAGTTATATTGTTCTGAGGTTTTCTCAACGTGTGTCCCATCCAATGCTAGTGACTTTTATTCACCTCTTGGTCCACTGGAACTTGTTTAGTTCTCTCCCATCACTCTACATCAGTGATTCTATCATACCATTTATTTCCCTGTGTTCTGCACAGGCACCAGTAAATGAATGCTTGTAGTTTATTAGTAATTGCCTTAGTTGTTCTCCATGTTTCCGTTCCATACAACAGTACTGATTTGACAAAAGAATTACAAATGTTAAGTTTAGTAAACAAAAATTATGAAAATGATTACAATATAGTTATTTGAAAACCAACCAATGAGGGGTGTGTATCCTTTAATGGTAGCAAGATTCACATCTGCTTTGTAACTGATAAGTTCCCGAAGAACGTCCTCATGTCCACAACTAGCAGCTTCATATGCAGCAGTTCTTCCTTGCTGGCTCTGTCTGTTCACACAAGCACCTGAAATAAACAGTTTAGTTTTATTTCTATATATAAACCATTTTGGAGAATAAAAAACTATAATGTAAAATCCTTTTCATCCTGAGTGAAGAAACATAATGATGCTGTCAAGAACAGCTCTTATCATCAGCAAAATTACCTCTGTGTGTTCCGGGGGCCGTTGGGGGTGGGGGGGGGTTTACACTGCTCTTTAACAATTATGCTGTAAAAGCAACTAATTAAGGATTAGCTGATATCAGATGTGTTGGGGAGAAATGTGCAGATATCACAGCCTAGCTGTAAACTATAATACAATGTGCCAATCACAATTTTAAGGGTGAACACAGAAGATGAAATAATGAAACATTACAAACTTTCATCATGTTCTCAATATGGTTTCTTGTTAAAATTATTTCTCTATTTCGTAAGCACTTATTAGGTTAATCAGACATTCCTGAGTGACAATATGGATGGACTTATTGCTAAATATAAGTACCTGGAAATGACCGCGGTCACAAATGTGTTTACTGTACAATATGTAGAACAAGATCTTTGCATCAAGGAAGATCGGCTTAAAAACAGCATCCTGTCTCAGAAGCTGAAATATTTTGGTCATATCTAGCGCAATTGTGGACTGAAAAAAATAATAGCAGAAGATATGGTACCAGGAAGGAGGGGCAGAGGGCAACCAACATGAAGATGAGCACAGGATTTAAGTGACTCCTTACTTACTTACTTAGTCTCTCCTCTTCTACCTTTGGGTGTAGAGGTTTGCCAGAGAGATTGCCAGACATCTCTACTAGAAGTTTTCTTTCTGGCTTTGTTCCATTCCAGTCCTCTGTCAATTGTTAGGAACTGTCGGATATTTTCTTCCCAGTGAACCCTTAGTCGCCCTGGAGGTCTGGTTCGCTGGTTTTTAGCCTCCCGTGCCTAGTGCCTGCCACTTAGGTAGATTTTCTCCCATTCTGCATACATGTCCAAACTATCGTAACAGTGTCTGATCTACTCAGGTTTGTAAGGACTGGGTTTCAAGATCTTGACGTACTGTCTGATTGCAGACTTTGTCCCTTCTTGTCCCTTAGACCACCTTTCTCAGATATCTAATTTCTGAGGCCTGAAGCTAGCTTCTGTGAGCTGTTTTCATCGTCCATGACTCACATCTGTACATAAGTGACTCCTTGAATATGGAAGTACATGAGGCAGGAGAGCTGGTGAGAGACCGAGTTTCTTTTAGGCAGACCTTAATGAGAGCAAAGTTCTGCTAAACAATAATGAGATATTTAGAGATTGTGACATTTTTAATTTCTTCATTATTTTTTGTTAATTTTCCACTACTGTTGGATATTCAAAATATGCAACATAACTCTTGGTTTTTGTTGGAGGGAGAGAGTGTTTGATCCTACCCAAGAAGGCAAGGTATTAGATCCTACTACATATAAGATTATGTAGAAATGTGCGATACCATTACTAATCAACTGGTGTTCCAAAATTCATTGAGAGTAAAGCTAGTGGCTTTTGATCACAGGTGCACATTGAATTAAAATACACAGAAAAATTTTCCTTTTTCCCATTATAATTGTCCTCATTTCTGATTTCAAATTCTAAAATGGTACACATTCAAGTTCGATTTAGATGTACCTCCTGCTAAGAGGGCTTTCACTACTTGAAGATGACCTTCTTCCGCAGCTACCATCAGTGGTGTCTTTTGGGTGAGGTCCCCCCAGTCAAGGTCAGCTCCCGCTTTGATCAGCTGCTGCACCATGGCTGTGTTACCTGCCCTTGAGACACAGAACAGGGGTGTGTGGCCTTTCTCATTGTGAAGGTTGATGTCACACTTTGCTGATAGAAGGACCTGTGTATGTACACGTGCAGGGAGAAATTGTTATCAAATACATGACACAAATGAATGATAACTGCACCAAACCTATAACAGTATACATGTTTACTGGACAATTTATAAAATAACTGCATATTATACATGTGATAAGATAAATCTATGGTGACTGCATCAGAACTGTCAGTATACTTGTGCACGGGGCAAATGTTATGACAACTGCACCAAAAAAGAATGGTATATGTGTGTATACAACAAATTCTGATATACTGGTGACTGGTATGGAGCAGACATTAAGATCTTGGCTCTCCCAGCCTCTGCGTACAATGTCTACAGTATTTTCACTCCAAGACCATTATTGCTTCAATAAGTTTCGATCCCAAAGTGTGTGCTGTTTAGAGTAACATTCTTAAAATGTAGGGTGAAAAAAAAACTTAATGTGTCAATGTACCAATGTGCAGAGAATGGGTTTATCATTATGGCTAATATCATTAACTGTGGCTCCAGCAAGTAAATCATATGATAAGAAGAAATGACATGTGTACAACATGGAACAATTAGCATCTATAACCTGGGGCTGTTCGGAGCGGAGGCAAATTTTTTGCTTCTGCCGGACGGTGGCCGAAGTATTTTTGCTCCATTTGTAGACTGGATATAGTTTCGTCGCCCAGCTTCTGAGTTGAACGCATGGCGTGACCCTGTGAGCTGCGGATTGCATTTGAAATGTTTTTTCGACTGTGACCAACGTGGTGTGAATTGTAGATTCAGAAAATGGCGCGATGCCGGTCGTGCAATGCTGGCGGGACCCGTATTAAAATTGATCGCCCGGGCAACTGCTGATCTGTTGGCGACAAGTTCTGCTATCATCAATGATGAACTACATTTCTAATGTTGGACTGTTTGTGTTAGCACTTCGGATGGCTACCATATGCGTTAATGCGAGTGTATGCTAGATATGCTGAGACAGCAGTCTGTCAATCTTTCCACAAGGGACTGTGATAAACATTCTGGGTGTTTTTCGCTGGCACAGGAGCGGAGCAAAGATGGGGCGACCCGTTTGCTATGAAGCTGAAACTAAGACTGCCAGACTACCAGACCAGATGAAACTGATTCTGATATTAATTCTGATTCTCATTCTGATACTGCTTCTGATACTGATTCTGATACTGATTATGATTCTCAACTCAGTTGCCCAAGTGATTTAAAAAAAAAAAAGCTATTAATGCCAATGACAACTAATTGAGGAATTGAAAAAAAAAAATCCTTAAAAAAAAACACCACTTAATACAGGTCATCAAAACAATATAACAATTTTATTTACCCACCAAAACAATATTAAATTCCATACAAAATATGGGCAGCCATCATTAAACACAAATGCAGTAGAGAATTTACTGGGTCATAACTGTATGAGTCTACCCACTTTTTGTTTTACCCTATGAGTTGGTTGCAGGTTAACACTGTGACCAATCAGAAAATTATGTCTTATATCTATTAATAAAACCATTTTTTTCATAGAGAAACCCATCTAACTGATATTTTTAGTAAATGTAGTCTTTTTGTGGTGACAGGGTTCAAACAGTAAATATACAGTAAATTACCTCAGCAATATTTGCAAATCCTTTAAAGGCACATGCGTTCAGAGGGGTGTTTCCCGACTCATTCCAAGAATTGACATCAGCACCATTGTTAACCAGTAGGTCAACCACTTCTGTGAAACCTCTCCAGCAAGCCATATTGAGCAATGAGTTCCCGTCTGCATTTGTCTGGTTCACATTTGCTCCCTAAAAAAAAAAAATGATTGAGAATCAGCTGTACACACATAACTGCAGCTGACTCACAGTGTATGTTGAGAAAAGTGGAGACAGGCATGCTCAGTGCAGAGTGGCAAGCATCGCTTCAGAGGTCCAGGTTAGTAGCATAACTTGAATATTTTGTCCAGGTCATGCTGGTGTGTTGGGAAATGAGCAGACAAAGAAACTGGCTGGTTCTGCACCACTTAATGGTGAACTGATATATCACAAGCTAGATGTTATGAGGGCCCTCTGACAGCGAGTGAACTGTGAGCAGGCACAAAAAAATCATTACGCTCTGAGGAGAATGGTGTCACAGAGTTACCAGGGGATCTGGCCGACGCTCAACTCTCAAGGGAAAGGTTTGACAGATTTACAATCAGACAGTTACTGGTACCATCGGAATTAGAACTTCGCTTGCTGCTGAAGATGGGGATGGAGCGCTTATGGGAGTGTCCTGAGTGCTTTGATTTTGATTCTTAATTCAACATTCAATGCATTAAAAAAATATAATTAATAACTTTTGAACTGAAATAAAGATCTATGTCCACTGGAGACATAAGCCAATGAAATAAAGAACCATGTCCACTGGAGACATAAGCCAATGAAATAAAGAACCATGTCCACTGGAGACATAAGCCAATGAAATAAAGAACCATGTCCACTGGAGACATAAGCCAATGAAATAAAGAACCATGTCCACTGGAGACATAAGCCAATGAAATAAAGAACCATGTCCACTGGAGACATAAGCCAATGAAATAAAGAACCATGTCCACTGGAGACATAAGCCAATGAAATAAAGAACCATGTCCACTGGAGACATCAGCCAATGAAATAAAGAACCATGTCCACTGGAGACATCAGCCAATGAAATAAAGAACCATGTCCACTGGAGACATAAGCCAATGAAATAAAGAACCATGTCCACTGGATATATAAGCCAATGAAATAAAGAACCATGTCCACTGGATATATAAGCCAATGAAATAAAGAACCATGTCCACTGGATATATAAGCCAATGAAATAAAGAACCATGTCCACTGGAGACATCAGCCAATGAAATAAAGAACCATGTCCACTGGAGACATAAGCCAATGAAATAAAGAACCATGTCCACTGGAGATATAAGCCAATGAAATAAAGAACCATGTCCACTGGAGACATCAGCCAATGAAATAAAGAACCATGTCCACTGGAGACATAAGCCAATGAAATAAAGAACCATGTCCACTGGATATATAAGCCAATGAAATAAAGAACCATGTCCACTGGATATATAAGCCAATGAAATAAAGAACCATGTCCACTGGATATATAAGCCAATGAAATAAAGAACCATGTCCACTGGAGACATCAGCCAATGAAATAAAGAACCATGTCCACTGGAGACATAAGCCAATGAAATAAAGAACCATGTCCACTGGAGATATAAGCCAATGAAATAAAGAACCATGTCCACTGGAGACATAAGCCAATGAAATAAAGAACCATGTCCACTGGAGATATAAGCCAATGAAATAAAGAACCATGTCCACTGGAGACATAAGCCAATGAAATAAAGAACCATGTCCACTGGAGACATAAGCCAATGAAATAAAGAACCATGTCCACTGGAGACATAAGCCAATGAAATAAAGAACCATGTCCACTGGAGACATAAGCCAATGAAATAAAGAACCATGTCCACTGGAGACATAAGCCAATGAAATAAAGAACCATGCCCACTGGAGACATCAGCCAATGAAATAAAGAACCATGTCCACTGGAGACATAAGCCAATGAAATAAAGAACCATGTCCACTGGAGATATAAGTCAATCTTCTTCTACCCTACACAGACCCTTTAAAAAATAATAATACCAGTTATGTAAATTTCTTTATTATTGGCTTAATATTGCAGCTAAGGTCAAAGTTGGGGGATCAACTTCATTGCACTGGGTTATATCCCATATGGCTTGGTCGCTCTCTTATGACATGGAGTCTTGCTATTCTGTGTTTTCCCTTGGGTCCTGAAACACATGACTAAGAGATTTAATCTTAGATTCATTTTTTTTTTCAGACCTAGCAACACTCTGATGGTGATGCAGTTGGTACTGTGCCTTTAGTTTCTGCCTTAACTTCTCAGACCTTCTTGTACTCAGTTTTGTGGCAGCACTGACCCTTCTGCAATGTGATCCATAACCAAATTCAACCACAAGGATATCTAAAGGCAGAATTTTTACTTTAAAAAAATGTTCAAACCAATTAGGCTTATTTTTACAAGTCAAGACTAATGTCATGTAGTCTATTTAAAAATCTAATCTGAATGAAAATCTGAACCAAATTCCATAAAATAAGATTTAAAAAAAAAAAAAAGAATGCAGAAACCAATCACTTACTCTGTTTTGTTATTTTCTGATGTGTGATAATTTCAAAATGCATCAGAAAAATCTGCCATTTTCTTCTTCTTGTTCTTGTGTTTGCTTTTTGATTTACACCAAAAGAGAGTTCTTGGGATAAACTTTACAGTTTTTAGTTCCCTTTTAGTTCCATTCAACTTTGAGTGCAGTGTTAACCTACTGGGTAAGTATTCCCTTGTTAATGGGCTGTACAAGGAACATTCATGCAGGACATATTCTTCACTCTGCACACACAGCCCACAAGGGCACAATGGTGAACTACTCAGACGGAGTCTGTGCATATGCTTGTTATATCAGCCATCTAACATGACAGACGTTTCTTCTTCTTCTTCACATTCACCGGCTGTAAACTCCTGCAGAAACTTCTGGTCGTTCATCCACCTCAGGACTTAGTCTTGTTCCAGAATCTAAGTTTTGTGTGCACATCCAATTTACAGATCTGATTTATGTGTATGCAGACTGTTGGTTCCTCAGGCAGATGCACTCTGACTCCGAAGGATGACCCTAATTAGTAGACTCGAATGACATGCTGGTTGGCAAGTCAGTGCGTTTATTCTATTCTTGTTTTTCCTACAATGGAGCCCTAGAACCAACTTGGGGATTACAGATACTGGAAACCTGAGCCTTGATGATAATAAATGATACAAAATCTTCAGTGAGCATCAATGACCCAATAAGAATACTAAGATACTTTCAGTGTTCAGTGTGTTTACCAACACAACCCTTTTATTTACTCAGATTTCTTCTTCTTTCTTAAAAGGGCAGCTGGCATACTATTTTGTGGTTTACAGCTAGGCTGCAATATGTGAGCCGTTCAACCCAATAAATCTGATTTCAGCAAATATCTAATTAACCATAGATTAGAACATGCTTGTTGGGGACATAGGTGCTACCCCCCCCCCTCCCCCCCCCCCAAATGGGACAACCATTTGGATACTCTACCATACTCTCTATTTACCTTTGCAATAAGCAGTGAGCAGATATCTGGCAACCCTTGACACACAGCCAGTTGTAGTGATGTCTGTCCATTGTATTGGAAGTCAACATCAAAGTCTGAGCTTAGGATGCTTTTCACTAGCTCTAGATCCCCCTGGGATATAGCAGCCTGAAGTTGTCGGATATTTCTTCTCTTCTCTCTCTTTTCAAACCCTGAACGGTCACCATTTCTAAGCCTTGGGGCAGCCAGACCTTGGAAAAACACACACACAAAAACAGTTTGAAATCAGTGTTGTACGTCCTGAAGATTGAGAACAAGCACTGTACAAGAATGTATGTAACAGATGCAGTTCAGTAAGCCAAATATCCATTAGGATACTGAACAACAATCATTTGGTTTTCCTATGATAATGCTTTTGATGTTAGGCTGGATTAGAGTCAGGATTTAATTTACATGCTGCATTTTTGGTATATTTAACACCACATAATTCAGCAGTATGAAAGTTTTGTTTAGTTAGGTCATGTGTGTGCCATAAGGCTGTGCTTTTCAATCCACATGAGGCCAACAACGAGGAGGAATGAGAACCCAAGGGGAAATCAAGGAAGTTAGGCAGTTGAAAGTGGACACCACACACCCTCACTTATTCTGAACAGTGACCATACATCATTTTACGATGTTAAAATGGTAACAACTTGTATGTGTAAGAACAGTTGCATCCTATCTTGCATTATGTGTAAGGAAGACAGCAAACAGGTCATCAATTATAAGGACAGGAGTAGGTGAAGGCAGTAAATGCAAGGACAACATGTCAGATAAAAATGCTTCAAAACATTACACAGAGAGAGAGAGAGGGAGGGACAGAGAGAGAGAGAGAGAGAGAGAGAGAGAGAGAGAGAGAGAGAGAGAGAGAGAGAGAGAGAGAGAGAGAGAGAGAGAGAGAGAGAGAGATAATTAACACACTTTATTTTCAAAGTGTTAAGAAACTATCAAGCAACCCATCTTCCACCACTCTACCTTACTAGTGGGTGAGAAAGAGAGAAATAGAAACGGAGACACACAGATAAGAAACTGATGGGGATGAGTCATAACTTTATATACCCATTAAAGTACATGCCTTGGCAGTGTAAACACGTGGACTACACTGCTTCTGTTAGATCCTGACATTTTCCCCCAGCTTAGTTGATTCTGATACACCCTGAACAAATTATCAGACATGAAACATGAAGAATGTCCAATCTCCCTGTTAAGACAAGTGATTTTATTTATCATAGAAACATTTTAGGGCAGTGATAGAAATAAAAGAGGAGCAGTTAGGAATGTTGAAATTTCTTGTGGGAGACTCAGCTTTAAATCCTCTGTAAAATCCTCTGTAAAATCCTCGGTAAGGCTATGGAATTTTTCTGTTTGGAGCCAAAATAATCTGTGGCGGCTACACTAGTCATGTGGCCCTAGATCCTCAGGCTCAAAGATACCCTGCCTAGCCTTCTTCTTCTTAGCGTTTACCAGCTGTCTTGATCCAGAACTTGAGTTCTGTGTACATATTCATTTTACATTTCATGCGGATGCATTATGACTATGAGGGAAACACCACTAATTATCTCCTCCTACAATGTGCTTGTTAGCGGCAGTGGGTCTATTCTTTGTTTTTCAAAATGGAGCCCCAGAACCCACAAAAAAAGTGTTAAATTAAAGGCAGTAATTGGCAGATAGAAATATATTTCAACTAAGCGACTGGAGCTTTTTAAGAGGAGAAAGACAGGTATGGGAACTTCCTAGAGCATGTTATACATGAAAGGAGGAATAGGTGGAAAATATGACTAATTTAACACAAACAACTGATCGCCTAATCCAGTGTTTTTCAAAGTGGGCGCAACTGCCCCCCAGGAGACACAGGGACTGCCCAGGAGGGCAGTAGCAGCCTTGATCAAATTTGAGGGGAGGGGAAAGGTAGCTAGGACGCCTCACGTGCAGCTGGGAAACATTAAATGAAACTAAGACAGCAGTAGAGAGAGAGAGAGAGAGAGAGAGAGAGAGAGAGAGAGAGAGAGAGAGAGAGAGAGAGAGAGAGAGAGAGAGAGGGGAAAGAAAAAAGAGAGAGAAAGAGACCATTTTGATAACCTGCATTTACCTTTCTCAAGGGGAGTAGCCATGGCGAAGCGGCTAGTTACTCACTTGCGAATCGGAAGGTCGTGGGTTTGCTCCCTGGCGGAGCTTGAAATTTTTTTCAAAAATGACCTTGGCTCCCAGGTCGACCCAGCCTTGAGTGGGTACCGGGTGCAGTCCCAGAAAGTAAAGACGGTCGGTGTGATTCTGACAACATCACCCATCTTGTGCCGATTGGTCTATAAAATATAGGTCTAGTCTTTTTTTTTAACCTTTCTCAAGACAGTGTACCAGATTAAAATCGCAGTGACTGCTTAGTTCTTTTTTAAGTAAACAAGGAAATTATGCTACAAACCAATTAGATTCATCCACTCATTAAAGAATATGTTAGTCATTAGTTTTGCCAGTATATGCTTCTTTTTTGTTTGATTACAGAAGATCTGTTTCAAGGCAAGCAACTCGATAACTTGGTGACAACTAGAAATATTACCAAAAATAGGATTGAGTGAGAGTAAAGAAATAAATATCTGGATCGGCTGGCCACATGCATGGGGTGGGAGAAGAGCACCACCTTATCATTCTGCTGAGCGTTTAGGATGATGATGATGACCGCTTATGCTTTTCATCGTAGCACCCAATGATGATGATATCTCCATGTGGAAAGGGTGGGAGCTGGGATTTTTCTTTTCACTGAAAAGGAGATGGTGGGCCAAACATTCTGGGAAACACTGGTCTAATCGCTACCTGTTCAAACAGATTTTCTGTACTTATTCCATAGTTAGTTGTGTATCTTTTACAGGACGTTGCAGAACCAACCCCAGCATTTTTTGGCTGCTGTGTTTTTTCTTAACAAATTTTTACGTTCAGTAGTCTGGCACTGCCTTCTGAATGGTCAGCTCTCAGTACCACTGTTCACAACGCGTAAGACGCACACGCCAAAACATATTCCATAAGCATGGGATAATTCCCACCTTTGACTCACATGTCTCTTTACATGCTTAAGAGGTGATAAACATTTCCATAATCTTACTATTGTTGATAGATCAGAATTGACCAAAACAGTCTAAATAACATAATTAAACTAGGTTGTGATGTCCTCACAGTGTGATAATACAAATCAGCAGGATGTGGAAGCAATAAAAATATCGAGACAAAAATCAAATGGATTACATACCTGCAGTGTTTTTCTGTTGCCAGGATATAGACATGTGTGCGGCAGTGCCTATAGCTGACAACTTTTCTAAGGAGAAATTAGAAAACATAATGCAGACATTTTCTTCATCTTCCTTTTCGCGTTCACTGGCTTTAAACTCCGGCAGAATGTTCTGGTTGATCGTCCACTTCTGGACTCTTCTCCTGTTCCAGAAATGGTGTTGCATGTACATCTGTTTCACAGGTCTGACTCATTTGCATGCAGCCTGTTGGTTCCTTGCCTCTCAGGCAGGTGTACTCCAACTTCAAAGGAAGTTCCCATTTGTTTGACTCTTATGACATGCTTTTTGTGTGCAGGCAGTGGGTCTATTCTTGTTTTCCCAAAAATGGGGCCCCGGAACCAACACGGAAATTGTCATAATATATTCTTTTAATGTACTTTAGTAATATTCCACTAGGGTGTTAAATATCAAGCCTCTAAAGTCTAGGCCACAACAGGGGGTGGATTGACTAGTTGATTTTTTTTTTTTTTTTTATAACCCATACTAGTTAGAAATAATTCTGCCACTGTCGGGGACTGAACCTGAACAATTTTTAGGCAGATAAGGGCACTAACCACTATGGTACATGAGCATTTACAAAACTGAACTTTATTACACATGACTAGCTGGCACATGTACATGTGTGCGCACAAACACACAGATTAAGAGGTGATTGTTGTTGTTGTTGTTGTTATCGATCCAGCGGCGCATGAGCTTTCGCCCTTTGGCCCAATGCCATGTAGTGGAATTTGCATGTTTTCACAAGCTGTTCTTTTCCTCCGTACAAGGTGTTCCACTTGTCTGGTCTCGGAGGGAGTAGCGTTCTTCTTGTCTCACTGAGTTTTGGGCACTCAAAGAGATGGTGTTCAACAGTTTCGTAGGGGTAGTTACATAGCTGGCACTCTGGGGAGTGTTGTGGCTGTATTCTGTTTAGGTGTCCATTGAGTGGAGTATGTTGCGTTCTAAGTCTGAAGATGGTGGCCTGGTCCCTTCTTGTTAGATGGTTAATGCTGTCATTAGGATCAGGGCCAGACATATGTCTATAAACCTCTCTTCCAGTGTCTCCCATGGCCCATCTGTTCAACCAAGTCTCTTTGTTTATAGCTCTTTATCAGTGTTTTTGCTGTCTGGAGGGTTGTCGCTGTCGGTGGTTGTTCTTGTGTTGCTCCTTTCTTTGCCAATCTGTCAGCTCTGTCATTACCTGGTGTGCCGGAGTGACCTGGAATCCACTGCATCACTATTCTGATGTTGTATGAGGTAATAAGCTGATCGGCATCCAGGATTATCTTGGCTATGTCAGTTCTGCAGCGTTCATTGCCCTCCAGAGCTTAAAGGGCAGACATTGAATCTGTGAAGATGACAATATTTTGGACCTTTGAGGGGTAAACATCCATTACAGTCTTTAGGTGGTATACTGCTGTTTCCAGTGCAATTATTTCAGCTTCATGGTTTGAACAGAATTCCCCACATGCATCAAAAATCTCTTCAACAGATCCATCGGGATAACCTATGTAGAGGTGATAAACAATTCCATAATCTTACTTTTGTTGATAGATCAGAATTGACCAATACAGTCTAAATAACATCATTACACTATATTTCTGTTGTTTATTCCACTATAATAATGATAAAAGGTCAAAAATCTCTATCATTAAAACTTTCATTAGTGCCTGTATTTACCTCTTTTGTGGTGTAGGTAGGAGAAGGGGAGTCTCTGAGCCATTTTGTCCTCTTACCAATTTCTCTTTTGCTAAGAAACCCTCAGTTTATGGCTTGGTAAAATCTCCCAGCAGCTGCTTTTCGAGTAGCCAGCTCTGTCTTAATGCCTTCATTCTGGTATATTACAACTCCAAGGTATCTAACTGACTGATCTGCTCCAGTGCACACTTTACCATCATGATCTGGTGTTTCTTCTCCTTTCTTGAGATCACCATGGGCCTCTGATGCAAATATAAAAGTATATTGAACCTTTGTAGTCACAGTGATGTTTTCTGCTATTAGAATTAGCCACTGCTGCCGCTCATCACCATACGATTTAAGAAACAACTCACCCAGTTGAAACTTTCCAAACACACGTTGAAACAAATGATGAAGTCAACATTGTCTGGATGTATAATTTATGAAAATATATTGAACTGCCGTTGTTCATTGCAACTCCCAGCATCATTTACGGTCATTCGTATTCAACTGTCTAGTGCAGCCACTTGGCACCATAAGATTTAAGAATTTAGTAAAGAAATCTTTTTCTCTCACTCAGCTAATCCAAACTTTCGAAACACACGTTAAAATGAACAGGGTATCTAAGTTTATAATTTTACAGGCATTAACACTGTCTGCAACTCTGTAATGCATTAAAACATTTTCTAAATTTCTTATATGGATGTAAGAGTTGGACTCTCACAGCATAATGCCGAGAGTATCTCCCGCGCCGCTACAGCTCTCCTCCGAAGGGCGTCATAATATTATGGCGGCCATAAAATATCCAAAAATATCCGAACGTGGCTCAGTTGTATTAAAAATATGCCGGCTCCAGGGTCTCAGCGATATGTTACTTGCGGACCTGTTTCTGTGACTATGCCTCACCGCCGACCGCAACCCCCGCGCCGCTGCGCGCGGCGCAGATGGGGCTAAACTAGATGGCTGGGACTCACGAGCAGCAGCTACAGCATCTTCTGCAACTTCTTCCAACTAATTTGCTCGTGAGTCCCAGGCACCTAGTTTAGCCCCCATCCGTGCAGCGCATAGCGCCACGGGGGATACGCTCGGCGGTAAGTTTAATCGCGTTTTGCGCATGCCGAAAAGTGTGAGGATACAGGTCGGCAGGTCTGACATCTACCGCTGCTAAATCCTCAATCGGACGAACAGTATTGCTAATCTGCGTGGGAGCATGTGGTCTACCTGCCATATCACTTTCATCGTCTGTAATGTCTCAAAATTGTCAACGGTCACTAATATCGTCTGCAAGAACGCTCAAAATTGTCAACGGTTGGTATTTATCATCTGCTACTACCGTGTGCAATGTTGATATTGTCAAGTAATCCTAGTTTTGCCGCGATTTGTTCCTTGGCACAAAGTCCGTATTTTAGATATGCCTGAGCCCCGTTCGGATATTTTTGGATATTTTAATTTTTATGGCCGCCATAATATTATTATTACGCCGTTCGGAGGAGAGCCGCCGCTACTATTGCAGGCTGACACACCAGATGCTTTAAAGGAGCCCCTTTTCAGATGGAAATCCTATAGCAGCAAACCCTAGTCACCCTGTTCAACCGTGTAACACAGTTATAATATAACTTTTATTAGGGCACACTACTGCCTACAGTAGTTATCATCATGAAAATCATGGTAGTCTACTTCAGTAACTGAATAATAATCTGGTGTCCAAAGTATTATTTTAAATAGTTACTCGTTGCAATCAGAACAAAACAATCCAGGTCCCAGATAAGATTTAAAAGAAATATCATTTAAACAACAGAAGATATGCATACATGCACAAGAAACAAAAAAAAAAATTGTATGAGTGTCATTTACAAAACGCATATTCTGCACGTACCGTCAGTTTTCAGCTGGAGAAAAATGAGTCAACTTGCGAAAACGTTCACTAATGTTTGGCCACAGTAGCTGCCCTTGCGTGAGGTAAAACATGTTCTGGTACGGTTCTTGAATTTGAAAAAAAAAAATATTGTATAAAAAAAAATGCAGAGAATACAACGTAGATCTTCATGCTTGTTTTATTGATTTTAGCAAGGCATTTAATTATGTCCAACATCATAAACTATTTTGAAAAGTAAGGGATTTCCAGCGCATTTAGTGCATTTAATTGAAAATCTTTATCATGAACAACAAGCAGCTATCAGAGCAGCTGGTGAAACATCTGATTGGTTCGTTTGGTTGTTCACCTTATACAGTTTCGTCCTTTTCAGGACGAAATTTTTTGTTATTTGAAGCCCCACCCTGGCTTTTGCCAGGCTCCGAAGTTAGAAGGACGCAGAAAACCTTAGAGAATCTTGCGGCAAGTCTACCGGCCAGCCAACCCACCCCAGTCACCCCAAAACCAACAAACGGCGACCTAGGCGGATCGGCTGAGGCGATAGAGAAACTAGAGGAAAAGCTGAACTCAGAATTGAATCAGAGTGCACAAAGAGAAAAACAAATGGCCCAAGAAATTCTAGACTTACGCGGTATGATCGGCAATTTAGTGAGAAGGCAGCAAACCCTCGATGAGGAAATCAAACTCTTAAAGGCAGCGACCCAAAACACGGTCAAAAATCAACCCGCCGAATACCAAAATGTGCTGACCGAGCCACCTGTCTGCGACCGCCCCAATGAAACCGCTAACAATATCACTGAGGAGACTATAGGATCCATTATCAGCAGGCTGGAGAAGATAGAAGGCAAGCTGCCTGACTCTGACTCCTCGGACTCCAGTACGATAGATAACGAATCCTCATTATCTGACTCAGAACCCGACTCAGACACAATAGAAACGAGCCAAGAAGCTTAAAAAGAAAACAGTGTTAGCACAGCGTTTATTTCTTTTAAAAATGGAGAATGCCAATATAAATATTCTGCAGTGGAACTGCAACGGCGTCAGAAGAAAACCTCCCAGATATATTCCAACAAACATGGGAGGAGACAACAGTCTATGCCTTGCAGGAAACCAGGCTGAAAGCAGGAGATAGATTCACGCGACCGGGTTTCGCCACATACAGAAACGATAGAAAATCCAATATGAGAAGTGGCGGGGTAGCGACCCTGGTCAGCAACCAAATAAAAGTCATATCTCACACTGGATTTAACACCCAAAATTTGGAAGGATTGCTGATCAGGATCGCCGGCCACAACCACGACCTAACTATCATTAATGTATATAGCCCAGCAGGGAAAATCGAGGCAACAGACCTAAACACAATCAAAAGCCTCCTCACAGAAAAAACACGTTACTTCTCGGAGACCTGAACGTGCATCATCAAACGTGGGGTGAGCTAACAGCAGACAGAGGAGGCAATAACCTAATGCAGTTTATTGAAGACAACTCTCTAACTGT